TACAGTTTAACTCAGACGGCCAAAATGAAAAGTGTTTATTGGAAGTACTACAGCTGAAGAGGTAACGTTGGGGTTTGAGCAAATAGAGATTGGGTGGCCCCCAGAGGTAGAAATACTGGGAAGCCATTACCAGTGCTAGGCCCAGAGAGACAAGGGAGGAAAGAAGTTCAACTGGAATCCAGTGAGAACTGGAAGCGTGCAAGAGGGAGGAACTTAGGGGGAACTACCACCATCACGGAGGGACGCAGTTACAGCCAGAAAGGTTGTGCTGAATTCAGAAGGGAGGGAGGAAATGACACGCCTTTCTTCTTCCACACTCCTGTTTTGTGCCAATGCCAACACTGGGCTGAACCCAAACAGAAACCAAGGTGGTGAAGGAGTTTGGAGGAATAGTCCAGAGAAGCAACTTGTAGAATATGGGACAGGTCAGCAAAAGTTTGCTACTGTTTCTGTTTTTCAGGTAGATGTAGGAAGAGGGTAAATTGAGTATTAGCAGCATTTCAGCCCTTCTGCACTTGTATTTGTTGGCCCCAAACAAATAGACTGTCTGATATTTCTGTACCAAAGATGGGTTTATTTGAGATCACTAGAGAATTGCAGTTGAGGATCTGCAACAATGGCAAGCTACCTGCACATCTCCACACAGCAAGGAAAGGAGAATACTATTATCAAAGGGAAAAAGGGATTGAGAGGGCGATAGCAAACAGTGTGTGTTTAAGTCACATCTGTAGTGTCTGACTCTCTGTGAGTCAAAGGACTGCAGCCTGCCAGGGTCCTCTGTCCATGGGATTCTCCAGGCAAGAATACTGAAGTGGGTTGCCGTGCCCTCTTCCAGGGGATCTTCCTGATCCAGGGATCGAACCTGTGTCTCTTACGTCTCCTGCGTTGGCAGGCAGGTCGCTTACCACTGGTGCCACCTCAGAAGCCTCAGTGGCTGAGTCCTTGCCAGGAAAGGAGAGGAGCCTTTCTTCTTCCTGTTGGGCTCTGCGCTCAAGGGAGGGTGGGAGAGCTCATCCTTCTGCTTTCCCAATTCTATTTAATTGAGGTTTCTGTTTATTAATTTGTTACATATTGTATCATGGTTGCTTTGCACATTTCAAAATGAATGCTGTGTTGGAGAATTCTGGTGGTGGTGTCATGAATATCCTTCTCCAGCTTCTTCCCCTGGAAATTTTTTATCTGTTCTCCAATTCTCCATTCTAACAGCAATACCTCTGTGAAAACCTCCCTCATTGTATCTTCTGAGTTTAGTAGGCTGTCCACTATTGTCACATGTTTACTATATACTTTCATTACAACAACTTTCACATTTTGTTTTAGTTAATCATTGACTTTTATTTTTCTCCTTTCCTCCAGAACAGAAATGATCTTTGTCATTCTTGTGAACCTGTGTCCTCTCATTATTATTGGCAGATGATAAGAAAAAATTTGGTAAATGAATAAAAGAGAAAATGAATGGGTTTGAAGTAGTATCTGCTCCACAAGAAAAGGAAGGGGTGAGTCAATAGATCACAAGCACACAGGGAAATTAGGAGATTGGAAAGTTGAAAAATAAATGATAGTATAAGACAGGGCAATATAGAAGACATAAATAAAAAATGAAACTCAGATATGGACTTGTCAGGTCAGTTTGTTTCTCTTCCTTGGTTCTTGTCACGTGACAACCGAAATTTGGAACAACAGACTACTGGGTGTAAAATAGCACACAAGTTACAGTTCAGTTCAGCTCAAGCAGACACATCTTTTATTAGACAGACACTCCCAAAACATGGGAGCAGGCCAATCCCAAAGGAGTCCTCTTGATGATCACTCTTGGCTTTCCCCTTTTTATACTTCCTGTCTCCTCTTATTCTTTGTGCCCTGTGCAATATAGGGCTTGTACCCACCATGAATCAATGAAAGGAAATGCAAATGGGCATATGCTCCGGCCAGTTGACAACTGCAAGTTATATAACAGCAGGCTGTGTTGTGTTGTGTTTCCATAATTCAGTCTATTTTAATCAGATGTGTATATGTACAGGATATTTATTAACCTTTAACGGTTTCTAGATGCCAAAGGTTATTTGAAGAAGCTCCTTTGATCCACTGTGAGCCTAGGGCACATGTGCAGTTGTTGAAAAAGTCGCTGTGGTTATTTTGTAGCATATCTGTCAGTTCTTCTGGGTGTGTCTGGCATGGGGTTTATAGATCACTTTGTATCCCTTTCAGTCAGCCCACCCCTCCTTGCTCATGCTTAACTTCCTACCTAATGGACTAAAGCTTAAGTAAAAACAGAAAATCCATGGAACAAAAATAAACACAAAAAAGCTAAAACCCACCTTTTAAAAGATGTGCAGTCCAAATAAAGTTCACAAGTATGCTCTGCTTAATTAAGAAAAAAAATTAATATAGAAATGACTTTTCTTAAGGTGCTGAGAAAATAATTTTAAAATCAATTAATCCTTTGCTTCTTTGATTTCAGCAGTTTGTTTTTTTCCGTTGTATTTTCTACATTGAGGGTAGAGTGTGATTGGCACCATTTCAAAAATTTGTACCCATATTTTGTCTTCGCAGCCAAACAGAGTTTACATTTAAACTTGGTATTTGTCTATAGTTAATAAGAAGAAAGAACATATGCTGTTGTTTAAGGGTTCTGATGAATAATTTTTCCTTATTTCTAAAAATATAACTGATATTTAAAGACTGACCTGCTCATCTAATGTTCAGATAACTCAAGGCAGATTGCAGAAGTGTTTCTTCACACTCAAGATTATTAAATATGAAAGAACATATATGCATCCAAAACTTATAGTACTCATTTTGCTAAAATTCATTTCACGTAGTGCAGCCAGAAGAGTATAGCACTTTGCTAACTTGATAGCAGTTCATTTGAATAGTTGCTAGTTTTTTACACATGGAAGAAAGAGAGAGAGGGCAAGGGAGAATGAAAATGGTGAGAGAAGGTTGGAGGGGGAGAGTGAAAGAGAAAGGAGGAGGAAAAGGAGGGAGAGGAAGAGAGAAAGACAAGTTTAATGAGTTTGATTATTATGCACATCAGTAAGGTGAACAGTTCAGACTACTGACACTGAAAAGACAGTTTGTTACAGACTGCACTGTGGAGGGAATATGCTGCCCCATTGATGGCTGCACAGGGCAGCTCTGGGTCCCGCAGGAGGTGAGGGGTGGGTGGGAGGGAAATGTGGCAACAGCTTTTGTTGTGGGTTCTTTGGGGGAAGGAACAGGTGCGTCAGGGAAAGCCGGTTTAGGATTGGCTAGTTTGAATCATTTCAGTACACTCTGGAGTATGGGGACTATCCACGCTTGTCTGGGACTTGACCCAGGGGCGATAGGGCAAGGTGATAGTGACCCTGAGAGGGCGGAGCCTGATGGAAGACATTGTTGGGGGTATACGTTCTGGGTTGGTTGATTGGTATTTGAAAGGCATGCTCTTGGATAAGCTGTTTACAATCTCTGAAAATTGCCTAAGCAGGAGACCAGTTGACTCCTTCCAGGGTCAGCAAGGCACCAGATGTCAAAGCCCCAGAAAACAGAAGACGTGGTTAATGTAAGAAAGAAGAGAGGACGCGAGGGAGGGAGGGAGGGAGGAAGAAAGAGATTGTTGTTTTTTAACACATTCAGTACATAGGGTAAGAGCAGCAATAAATTGATACCCAAGTTGGATAAAGGCTGTGTGTTTGTTTTTTTCACTGCTCTGACTGGATTCAAAGGGAACTGAGTGAAAATCCTGGTATTTAACACTAGCTGTGTGATCTTTCTGTGAGGTTTATATTTCTAGAATATGGAGATGAAAGTACCTTCTTTACAGGATTGTGAGATTTAAATGTGAGGATATGTACACAGTGTATTAAATAAATACTAGCTGCTTTTAATTCTTCTTGCCTAAATACTCAGTGTTAATGCCCACCTAATATAGATGATAAAATCATGTGTTAGCTTTGCAAGTGAAGCTATGTAGTTACACATCAAAGGAAAGTGTGGAATATATCTTACATTGCACCTGAAATGTTTTAAAATGTCTTATTTTCAAAGGGAGGAAAAAAGGGAGGAAGGGAGGGAGAAAGATGGAATATTTGATGAATGAATAAATGAAGAGCAAATAAGCAAATATTTGAGCTTAGAATTCTGATGAAAGACTAACTATAATTTTTTATTAATAAACAATAATGCTGTTGCTCATAAAAATAAGTAATCTAGTATAGAATATTTTGGCATGGATAAGGTCAAATACTACTATATTTATAATTTAAAGTACATGATTCTATGAGCCATTAAGTCACAGAAACTGATTTCCAAACTTCAGTTAATGACCTCGGTTATTTGTCAATAAGAAGAGAGGGAGAGGTTATGAAACTTGAGACGCCGCCCGGGGCTGGGGGCTCCGGCTCCCTCACCGAGGACCGGGCCGCCGCGCCGAGAGCCGGCGCGCGGGGGGGCTGTAGCTTCGCTGCACCCTCGCTTGTCAGCCAACGGCGCCGGCGGGAGCGAGCGCGGGACGGCGGGCGCGCGGGGCGGGAGGCCGGCCGTGGTCCCCGGCGTCCGAGTGCCCCGCGCGCCGCCCCGACCCGGCCGGTCCGCCCGCGACCGCGGGGGCGGGGGCCGAGCTGCCGGGCGCGGGGGAGCGGGGCCGGGCGCCGGGGGTTGGCGGGACGCGCGCCCCGTGCCGGCGCCCGGCCTCGAGCCCGCTCCCCCCTCGCCCCCGCGTGCCCGCGCCGCTGCGCGCTGCAGTGTGGGAAACGGCTGGGGTTGGCTGAAGAGCGCACAGTGGAGTTTTAATGTCCGCCGCGTTGGCCACGGCGTATTGAGGAGAGCGAGCGAGAGAGGAGCGGAGCGTCTCGGCCTCCCACCTCCAGGCGGCTCTGAGTGCCCGGACGGCGAGCTCCGCGCTCCGCCCCTCCAGTCCCCGGCAGCGGTGGGCGAGTGGGGGCCGAAACCGCTGTTCTCCACGATCCCGCTGGCCGGGGCCGTTTCCCCAGAGCGGAGAGGCATCTGCCGCGCCTGAGATGAGTAAACTGTCGTTTCGGGCGCGGGCGCTACACGACTCGAAGCCGCTGCCGGTTTTCCGCTGTGAGGATCTGCCCGACCTGCACGAATACGCCTGGATAAGCCGGGCCGCGCCAGATGCCCACCGGAATGGAGATGGAGGAAGGAGCACCTACCTGAGGTAGGTCACCCTACCCTGAGGGCGTAAAGGTTTCCATAAAAATTGCAGAAACTGCAGAAGCAGAACCATATCTCCTGTGATGGTGGCAGTAGGGGAAACGTCCTCTCCCTTGCAGAATAGCTACATCACAGTTCCTGGAGGGTTTCAGATATAAAGAATGTTGATAGAACAGGAGTTCATACCTTATATACAGGAAACACATGATGTGTTCTCTGTAGTGTTGAACAATAATAATGAGGCAGGTATTCAAACACATATTCACAGACAAATAGGAGAAAATGAAATACAAAATAATGCCTGTTTGCCCCACTCCCCAACGTAAACAGAAAACAAAAGCAAAATTCCTGAGTCATTTCCTTCATAAGAGGAATTGTTGTTATTTAAGTTAGTAAGTTGTGTCCAACTCTTTTGTGACCCTATGGACTAAAGCCCACCAGGGTCTTCTGTCCTTGGGATTTCCAAGGAATGGAAATGGGTTACCATTTCCTTCTCCAGGGAATCTTCTTGAGAGAGCTGATCAAGACCTGGGTTTGATCCCTGGGCTGGGAAGATCCCCTGGATCTTCAAACCTGTGTCTCCTGCATTGGTAGGCAGATTCTTTACCACTGAGCCGCCAGGGAAGCCCACATAAGAGGAATGGTCACATCCAAATCATTTAAAATTTATCTCAGTCCTGTCAAGAAGGTATTAATATATACAGGAAACAGATGACAAATTGAGCACAATAGGCCCAGCTCTTTATCCTTAGTCTCTCAGCCCGTAGGGGGACGAACTCTGTTTCAAACTCTGACTCCCAGACCCCAAATTGGTTCTTCTGCCAACCCAAATTGCTGCTATCAAACTCTGTCTGGGAGCAAACAAATTCAGGGATACATGTTCAAACAAAAGCCAAACAAAACACTAGGATCGCCTCTTCTTGTGTAGATTTGTGTCCCTAGCAACAAAAAAGAAGAAACTAACTTTAAATTATAATTACATTAATTTCCTCTGAAGGCATAAACAGAATTTTAAAACCATGTAATTAAATACATCAGTGTAGCTATCTGGCCTAACCTCCAGAGTGGAGCTAAAACCAATCTATCCATTCTGCAAAGCAGAGGCTGCTAGCCAATAGTGTCTCAAAGGAATGGAACAAATATTAGGTTTGGTCATAAACATTGTAGTTTTGAGATCATGGTGCTGCTGTGGATCCTTAAAAAAAAATACCCCCTCAATATTTTACATTTCTGTTTTTGACAAATGACAGTTATTTTGTAACTTTAATGTTTACCTAACTTACACTGGGCTTCCCAGATGGTACTTTTGGTAAAGAACCCACCTGCCAATGAAGGAGACATAAGAGACGTGGATCCTGTCCCTGGGTTGAGAAGATCCCCTGGTGGAGGACATGGCAAAACACTCCAATATTCTTGCCTTCAGAATCCCGTGGACAGAGAAGCCTGGCAGGATACAGCCCATGGTGTCACAAAGAGTAAGATACAACTGCAGTGACTTGGCATGGACACAACTTATACTGAAAGAAATTTGAAAACTCTGAAAATGAATCGGATATCTGACAGAACACTACATTACAGTTTCATTTTTGTGCCAGTGCACCTGTTTTCTATCACTGTGATGCTTAAATTATTTAAATGTTTATAAATTCAGAGGATAACGTATATCTGTAAAGCTATCACTTCCTTTAAATCCTACATTATAGTGCACCTCAGATTATCATTGTAATACATCAGTTTCAAGACCAGAAAAAAGACATTTATATGAGTTACTGCTTTCCACCTTTACTCAGTATCTGCATTCACAACTCATTGGCTTCCTTGTTTTTATTCAATGTTGAAAATTATTCTCTACACCCTGTTTCTTCACTTTACAATAAAAAAGAATAACCAGAAAATTAACTTCTTGATAAAACCCCCAATATCTTACTAATAACCCCGTGAAAATAATAAGAAATGTTCGCTTTTTCTGAAAAGGATGCTATTTCAAACATGATAATATTTTGAAAACCATTAATAATAATAAATGGTTTTATGTGTACCCAGAGATTTTGATAGTATTACTTCTGAGAACCAACAAAGAAAAAAATACTTAGGAATGAATTGACAATGAAAAAATAAAATGATTTAAAATTATTTCTGGGATTTGTCTGTTCTTTTATCTCATTTCTGTATATATTTTACAGACCATGATATAATCAAGTGGGTTTGGGATAGTTTCCCCTAAGAGATAGGAAACAGCTTTTTCAAAATACTGTGTTTTGAATCTGTTCTACAGATTTCATGAAGCCATCACAGATGCAGTGAAAACTGTGTGAACTTTGAATTCAGAAATGGGCTTCTCTTGTAGCTCAGCTATTAAAGAATCCACATGCAATGCAGAACCTGGTTCAATTCCTGAGTCAGGAAGATCTGCTGGAGATGGGATAGGCTACTCACTTGAGTATTCTTGGGCTTCCCCGGTGGCTCAGCTGGTAAAGAATTCTCCTGCAGTGCGGGACACCTGGATTCTCTCCCTGGGTTGGGAAGATCCACTGGAGAAGGGAATGGCTACCCTCTCCAGTATTCTGGCCTGGATAATTCCGTGGACTGTATAGTCCATGGGGTTGTGCAGAGTTGGACACGACTGAGCGAGTTTCACTTATTCACTCATAGTTTTCTTATAATAAGCTGAAACCCCATTGATACACCCTTCCTCCTTAGAAATCTCTCTTTGCTGTAGAATCTGTTGAATGAATGAATATAATGAATTATATCAAATTAAAAAGAAAAACGTAAACTGGAAACACTTATTAAGTGATGGGGTCACTAGGATATAAAGAAGAAGTGTAAGTTCAGTCTTTACCGTTCACGATCCATTCTCTCAGGTCTGCTGTGGTGTATCCATGTATAAAAAACACACTTAGATAAGACTAATTAATAGCTTAAATTTGTTAGGATCCAAAAATGTTTGTAGTAAATATATGATAAAAAATTGTGTCAGAGATTCTCAACAAAATATTAGTAAATTAAATTCAAAAAAGTATAAAAATAATTATATACCATGACCAAAATGGAGTTTGTCTCAGTTATGTGAGGCTAGTTTAACATTTGAGAATCAATTAATATAATCCATTCAAGACTAAAAAGGAGAAAAAATAAACACGTATAAATACATGTAGAAAAGCTTTTGACAAAATCCAGAGGGCACGCATGATAAAAACTCTCAATAATCTAGGAATAGAGGAGAACTTTCTTGACTTGTTAAAGATTATCTGTAAAAAATCGATAGCTAATGTCATACTTAATGGAGAGAAACTCAGTTTTTGCACTAAGATTAAAAAAAGGCAAGGATGTCCCCCATTATTATCACTTCAGTATTGGGCTTTAAGCCCTTGATAATGCAGTAAGGCAAAGCAAGGAAATAAGAGGTGTACAGATTATGAAGGAAGACATAAAATTGTCTTTTTCATAGATGACATGATCATCGATGTAGAAAATAAAAGAGTTGACCAAAAAACTCCTAGAACTAATAAGTGATGTTGGTAAGTTGGCAGAATAAAGGTTAATATGTGAAAGGTAATTGCTTTCGTATATACAAAAAATGAACAAGGGGATAGGTTAAAAAAAAAACCAGTTTACATTAACACCACCAAAAATGAATAACTTCAGTATAAATCTAATAAAACATGTACAAAACCTCTATTGTTTTCCTCAATAGGTGGAAAACTACAAAACCCTGATGAATGAAATCAAAGAATAAATAAATCAAGAGAGATTGCATGTTCATGATAGGAATACTCAGTATTACCAAAATACTAGTTTTTTCCCAATGTAATCTGTAGAAATTCAGTGCAACTCCAATCACAATCCCAGCAAGTTATTTTATGGATATTGTCACATTGATTCTAAAATTTATTGTTTCTTGTCTTTTTAAAAAATTAATTAATTTACTTTAATTGGAGGCTAATTACTTTACAATACTGTGGTGGTTTTTGCCATACAGTGACATGAATCAGCCACGGGTGTACATGTGCCCCCATCCTGAACACCCCTCCCACTTCCCCCCATCCCATTCCTCTAGGTTGTCCCAATGCACCGGCTTTGAGTGCCCTGCTTCATGTATCGAACTTGGACTGATCATCTGTTTCACATATGGTAATATACATATTTCCTTGCTATTCTCTCAAATTATCCCACTTTTGCCTTCTCCCACAGAGTCCAAAAGTCTTTTCTTTATATCTGTGTCTCTTTTGCTATCTTGAATACAGGGTCATTGTTACCAGCTTTCTAAATTCCATATATGTGCGTTAATATACTGTATTGATGTTTTTCTTTCTGACTTACTTCACTTTGTATAATAGACTCCAGTTTCATCTACCTCATTAGAACTCACTCAAATGCGTTCTTTTCTATAGCTGAGTAATTTTCCATTGTGTATATGCACCACAACTTTCTTATCCATTCATCTGCCGATGGACATCTAGGTTGCTTCCATGTCCTGGCTGTTGTAAACAGTGCTGCAATAAACATTGGTGTACATATGTCTCTTTCAGTTATGGTTTCCTTGGTGAGTATGTCCAGCAGTGGGATTGCTGAGTCATATGGCAGTTCTATTTCCAGTTTTTTAAGGAATCTTCACATTTTTCTCCATAGTGGCTGTACTAGTTTGCATTCCCACCAAGTGAAGAGGGTTCCCTTTTCTCCACACCCTCTCCAGCATTTATTGCACTTTTTGATAGCAGCCATTCTGACCAGTGTGAGATGGTATATGAAGAGGCAAAAAACCCAGAATAGCTATTACCTTATTGAAAGAGGACAAAATTGAAGGAATATTACCCAACTTGGAGATTTACTCTGAAGGTACAGTATCAAGACAGTGTGATATTGGTGAAAGAACAAATAGATCAATGGAACAGAATAAAGAGCCCCAAAATGAACCTACATGAATACAGTCAGCTCATCTTTTGCAAAAGAACAAAGACAATATAATGGAGCAAAGATAGCCATTTCAACAAATAGGGCTAG